TTTCCTCATTCAGGAAGTTTGTAATGAATTTCCTAGCTTCAGCGAAAAAAAATTAGCTGTAATTCAGAGTGCTTTTTTCTTACGTTTCTATACTTATTGCATGACTAGAAAACTTTATTATTTGAATGCTGAATGAGATGTGAACGAATATTTTTAATACATCCATTAAAAAACTACTCAAGTTGCCAATCTAACGAATACTCAAGTTGCCAATCTAACGAATATCGCTTTAAAAAAAACGTAACTAACTTGCTGGCTGTGCCTTCCCTGATTTTAATCGAAATGAGCTGTTCTAGAACGAAAATTGTAACATTCTTTTTTCTCACAGTAAAAGAGGAGAGAGGCATCGATATAACCTGGGAATGTAACGTCTTGAGAAGTCTGCTAATATTTGGCACTTTGCTAAGCTATGGTTCATAACGTGACTCTACACCTGAGCAGTTGGCGTTTCTTTAACCGGTGCTGCACTACCAGGTTATCAGTTTGCTGACGAATCCAAATATTGAGTCTTTGAGCATGATATTTAGGTCATGTAACTATGTAACGCAAACGTAGACAGTCTGTCATTCATCCCCTAGCTGTAAACACAGACAGTGCTATGAAAGGGAGTAAGAATGGAAAGGAGAGTGCCAAAGATGACATGAAGAAAGGATTAATAAGTTGCCGGCTTGCTGGCGGGAATTTGGCAAAAGCCCTAGAAAGCTTGAACTGTAGCCGCTCCGACGTATAAGTATGGCCACATTACACTGAAGACGGGACAATGGGGGAAAGACCGAGTTCGCAGCTTTGGGAATAAAGCATTTACACCCGAATACTCTTCCTTCAATTTTTGTTTTCTCATCCCAGTTTTTTTGTGTTGTTTACCCATCTTTCTCGCATTTTATAAGTATATTATAACGACTGGGTACCAAATAAAGCTCTTAAAACCGAAGTTTAATTTCAAGCTGAAGTGGGAGTGAGGAATTGTTATACAATATAAGCGTACGGGACGCTTCGGCCCATCGACTTTCCTAATTACCTGCAGAGGATGACAAACAGCGCAGTAGCGATCGATGCTGAAGCATACCAGGATGAAGGTGCTAAATATTTTTCCACTGTGCTCGAGCAGCCGCACCAGCTTGCAAGCCACAGTTCCAAACATCCAGAATCCGAGGATCTGTTGCAAAATTCTCATTTAACTAAGTGAAAATTATTTCGAATTGCCAATAGTTCTAACTGTTTTTCACAACTTTTTTAAAGTATAACACCAAAAAACCTCTGTTGTTAGTCTTTTTTTTTGTCTTATTGCATAAAGTGAAACACTAAGCGTACGGAGTGTCTAACTCGAGCTGCAATATGCTAGCCCAGCTGGGTTTGCTTGAAGTGTCACGAAATTTTCAGGAATTCTTACTTATTTTTGCATGATACCCGCATTTTAAACATCTCTAACATACACACAAATACGTGCTGGACGCATAATAGCAGTCAGGAGAATTGTGATGCTCCAAAATTCAAAATATGACTACTAAACAATTAATGGCCAATGCACCGGCTGCACGTGCATAGATGCGTTTTTTGCACAGTTCCCTGCTGATTTCTTTTGCTAACGACACTGTTTTTCCAGCAGATTCTACAAGCTAAAAGAATTGAGACTGGCCGTCAGGACTATTAGGAAATATCCCTTTAAAATTTCAGCTTTCCTGGTTCCCGAGTTAGCAACTTACCCGCAAAAATATTCACTGATCCGTACATAGAAACCGTGCATACCAATCGGGTGCTGGTTTTGAACTCATCAGTGCCTACGTGAACGAGAAATATTCCCTTAAAAATTCAGTCTTTTAGCTTTTCAGGTTTCGAGTAAACAGCTTACCGCAAAAAAATTTCACGGGCCCGCATGTGGATATTACGCACAAACTGAGGTTGGGTATGAACTCAAGACCTACGTGGACGAGGAACACTCCCTCAAAATTTCAGCTTCCCAGCTTCTCTGGTTTCCGAGTTAGCAACCTACCCGTAAAAACCTTGGCGGGCCCGCACGACAAGGGAAAGAGCATCCATTTTGGGGGCGAGGGCGCGCACATGCATGTAGACTAAATTCTCGAAGTTTTAGCCGTGTAGGTTTTGTAAGTCTCGAAATGAAAAATCGGTACAGACTAACATACAGGCGTCAATTCGCGTTTCCTACCTCTCTCAATACGCGTTTTCTGCATTGCATAGATGTAAGAAACGCATAAAAATTAAATAATAATATTATTGATAACATAATACTGGCATTCGCCAGCAGTTTGTTTCAAGCAACTTTCGAAAAAGGGAGCCGTCGTAAGCTTTACCAGTACCGGGGGCTACACGGAAGCAGTCCGAAAGTCAGCAAACGCTAGCGCTCAAACTACTTCCGAGTGTCTCTCGGTCCCTCGCAGCAAGTGAATATAAAAGGATTTTAATTTGATTAACAGTGTGGTAGCTGCGAAATGCTGCACTTGAAAATGTTGTGATATTGCTTTTTCCCGATTCAAATGCTCTTCTCAAAAAACAAATTTTTCCACTTCCTTCCTTCCTTCCTTATCAGCTGCGAAATTGCTTTCTCTTTAGCTTAGGATTAGATTTTGCAAGGAAACGGATGATGTTTTCAATTTTTATAAAGTTCACTTTTGCGCA